TCAGACAGACTGACAAGAAAAAATAGTTTATTGAACATGGCAGCAATGAGTAACTCAAAGGGGTTATTAGAACTGGGCTTATAGCTTCTTAACAAAGAACAGTGTATTTGTAGAGAAGTATCAGGACAAAAGGTTTTAGGCTTCCAAGGGCAGCACCCTGGGAAACGAAGGAGTAAGGTTTGTTTGTGCAGGCCCATCTCTGTATGAACGTTCCATTTGCTTCATGGCCATAAAACTTTCCCAGGAGAGGGGATTTATGGCATTCCTCATTTCTTAGAAGTTTCTGCATTTAGTCAGATAGGGGAAGCTCTGAGAAGATATCTTTCTGTATCTGCTATTCTCATTTTCCCCTAGCTCAAAATAATCTTTATGCCAAAGTGGTGTATTTTGGGGTGGCATATTCTGGTCCCCTGCATGCTCTTGCATTCTGAGTTTTGAATTTCTGACCTGTGATGTAGTTTCATATCTGTAAATGTTTAATGATATTTAAATTATATGGAATTGTTCTCCTCTGCCTTGTGGTAGTTTGGGGGAACATTTTGGTCAGCTGCAAAGGTTTTATTCTTACTTCTTACATGGTAGCTTTGTGTGGATGCTGCTTGCGTTCTTCTGTTTAGAGTGTCTTGGAGTTTCTTGGGCTCATAATAGCATGTGTTTCTGCAATGGGAGATGAGGGGTTTGGGTGCTTTCACAGGTTTCTTAGTTTAAATCCTCTCTTCTGTTGACACCATTAAGGACTTTTTTTTTGATGAAAAGTTTCAGGGAGGGGTGGGTAGGGGCTTGGTGTTACTCCCAGTGCTCTGATTCTCCTTTGTTTCATAAGACTCTTAGTTTATTTCTATCACTGGTTTTCTTTTCCTTCTTTCCCTAAGCTTCTGTGGAACTACCTCTGCCTCTCCCAGAAGTGGGATCTTCTGGAGGCCACCACATCTAGCCAAGCTCCCCTTCCAGTTCCCCAGTTCCAGTGCTCTGACCCTCTCGGTCTTACACCTGGTCTCTGTGTTCCCCCACTATGCAGCCCTTCCTTGCTAGGGTGTTGCTGTCAGTGAACTGCTGTTGTGGGAACCTGCTGGACCCCCTCTTGTGTCCATGCATCTCCTCCTGAGAGGAAGGAGGAGGAAGTGTCACTGAAGGGGAGCAGTGTCACTGGCTCTGCTAGTTTCTCCAGTTGTCTTGTTGAATTCTGTCTCCTAGTTTTGCTGTTGGCATGGTTGTATCTGCTGCTTGTTGATTTGTCTGGGTTTGGAGGACATAAGGACAAGTTGGTATTTAGGCAGCCACCATTATCCTGTGGGATTCACAAGTTTCACCAGGATTTCTTACAGATTGAGATTCAGTTTGAAGATTGAATTTTCATAAAGATGGAAATTAAATATGAAAACTTCTTGTGGTAAGTCATGTTGTACGTGTCATTTCTGAGTTCATCCAATAACTACTGTTCTTAGCTTTCCTGTATATTTAAGTATCTTGACTTGTTTTATTAATAGGCCCAGCTACACATTTTCCCCTCTATAAGGAAGGTGACTCTCCATATCAAGTCGAGGCATTGGGACTAATACCAAAATAAAGACCAACTAGCTCTCTTTGCTGTACATGTTCTCATAAACTTCATTTCAGGAAATTATGCTTAAACACAGATACTTTTGTCAGCCATTCCTTAAATGTCTCAGATTGCTTCCTGTGTCTGAAAATCTAGGATTGTTGTTTTTCTTAAGTAAGTAGAAATAAAGTGAAAAGTTCTCAGAAAATGGAATCCAGAGTCCAAGGCAGAGAGCCCTGAGACTGCATTGGTGGTAGAGGTGTGACTCCTGCTCAGCTTCTGTGGGCGGCTCTGGTGGGATTTCTCTGAGACCCAGGAGGGGCTGCCTGCTCTGGGCTGGCAGTACCTAGCTAATAAATGACAGTGTTCCTCTGTAGATTGTCTCACCTCATCCAAAGCCTGTGTCCTTGGCACGACTCCTGTTATTGGTTCCTGAAAAAACAAAGGACCTCAGTCTAGTGGTTTTACAGGCATTTGGGATAAGAGTTCAAGGTAGCTTGATGAAGAGCATCTCCCTGGGGCCTGTGCACCTCCCTGCTGCAGATACTTCTGCTTTCTGCATCGCATGAAAGAAGTTGGACTCTTTAGAAATGTATTAAACCCAGCAATAAATTAATCTTGAAATGGTTATGTTAATCTAGAAAAGTTTAATGAAAAAATGAAGTACAGATGAAAAAAATTGCTCTTGTAAGGTAAAAAATAGAATAAATAGTTCTATGTGGCTGTGATGTTGTGATGTAATAAGAAATATATATTTGTTCTTCATCCCTGGTTCCTGGCACAGAACTTGTAAAGTGCTTACGGTATCCTCAGTGGTAAGGGTGAGAGAAGCATCTTCTGTATCATAATAAGCCCCTTTCAACAATACTAATGTTTATGCTAATGAGGTGACTGTTTTGGGGTCCCTAGGTGGCTTTAGGATGAGGGCTGGTCCTCAGAGGAGCCAACCATGTGATTAGAGGGTTGGAACTTTCGGCCCCACCCCCAAACCTCCCAGGAGAGGAGAGGGGTTGGGGATTGAGTTAATCACCAGTGGTCAGTGATTTAATCAGTAGTGCCTGTGTAGTGAAGAATCCTACCAGAACCCTAAATGATGGGTTCAGAGAGCTTCTGGGGTGGTGAACACGGAGGTGTTGGGAGGTGGAGCCCCTGGAGAGGGTGTGGATGCTCCTTGCACTCCCTTCCAATATACCTCGCCCTGTGCATCTCTTCCATTAGCTGTTTCTGAGTTATATCATTTGTGATCATAAGTAAAGTGTTTTCCTAAGTTCTGTGAGTTCTTGCCAATTAATCAAATTTGAGGAGGGGGTTGTGGGAACTCCTGATTTTTAGCCAAGTGAGAGATGTGAGTATCTTGAGGACCCACTACTTGAGATTGTTGTCTGAAGTGGGGGCAGTCTTGTGGCACTGGGCCCTTATCCTGTGGGGTTTGCATTGACTCTGGGTAGTGTCACAGTTGAATTGAATTGTAGGACACCTAGCTGGTGCCTGCAGAGAACTGGAGAATTGCTTGATGTGGAAAACCCATACATTTGGTGTCAGAAGTGTTGTGAGTAGAGAAACAGTGTTTCTGTTAATGGTAGAGATATTTTAAACAGAGTTTGAATTTTTCTCTCCTTTTCCAGATACTTGTTGTGTTTGCTTTTTGTTTTGAATGATATATGGGAAAACTTCCCAGAAAATGTAATGTGGGTAGTTTCTTCCATCCAGACCCTGAACGGTCAGCATTGTTATTGAGACCTCTGTGCCAGGCCCTGTTCTGGTCTCTGTCCCCAGGGTCAGCCTAAGGGCTAAAGTAATGTTGCTCATAAATAGTGAAAGTAAAGAGCTGTCCTAGTTGGTGGGGTTTCCCCCACGGGTCCCAGGCACTCGGAAAAATGATTCCTATTTGTAGTCCCCTAATGTAGTTTGACATCCCTTCAGGATACTCCGATGATGGGAGTTGAATTTTGTCTCTAGTTCTGCATTCACATTCTCACAGCACTGTGTCACTTTTTATATTTCTTCTCTGCTACTCTGTGATTTTAGAAGCAACTTTATTTCTCCCTCAGCAGTTGCCTCCTTTTCTTTTGGGTACATCTCATGATGTGTGTGCCATTAGTCTCCATGATGCTACTTTAACGTCCCCCTCTTTCCACCCACAGTCCTAGAAGAGCGTGTACTATGGTTGCCAGGGTTTTGTAGTGCTCTAAAAATAGTTCTTATTCAGGATGAGGAAAAATCAAGACTTCAGATTATTTGAGGATTAATTGGTTTTTAAAAGAACAATGACTTATCTGTATGTAGATGTTATGGGAGCTCTTTGAAATAATGGGCTATAGTTTCTCAGGCTGGGTTCTCCTCCCTGTGCCCCCCAGCATCTGAATAGGAACAGACAGGATGGGATTGTAAAGAGAGGCAGGGACTTGCAGGCTCGGCTCAAGGCACTGCTCTGTGGTTCACTGGCTCCTGGTGGGACATATTGTGGCTCTGACCACGTTTCTTCAGTGGAACATGGGAGGTGGGATGGGCACTCCGATCTTTTTTCCAAGCCCTGAAGTTAAATACTTCTTCCTCAGTATTCTGATCTCTTCGTGGGCAAGAACATTCCTTTTTTATTTTTTTTTTTAAAGATTTTGTTTATTTATTTATTTTTTTTTAAAAGATTTTATTTATTTATTTGAGAGAGAGAGACTGAGAGAGAGAGAGCACATGAGAGGGGGGAGGGTCAGAGGGAGAAGCAGACTCCCCGCTGAGCAGGGAGCCTGATGCGGGGCTCGATCCCAGGACCTTGGGATCATGACCTGAGCTGAAGGCAGACGCTTAATGACTGAGCCACCCAGGTGCCCCAAGAACATTCTTTTCTTAGTGTTTTCTGACACTTATTGATCTCAGTGAATGTCTCCTAAATAAGCATGGTCAAGAAGGGAAGGGAGTCAGCCTTGCCCCTGGAATTGAGAGTTGGTGGGGTCAGCTGGGGCTGCATGGGTGGGGTGGTGATGGTGGTGGTGGAGGTGATGGTAGTGGCAGTGGTGGTTCTTAGGCTGGTCACTGTTTACTTTAGTGGCGCAAAAAGCATTTTCTTCAAGTTCATGGTAGGATAATCTCCCCAAATAGTTAATTTGGCTCAGTTTAGCTTTTCTTAATGTCAGGTCAGTGCCCTGTACTTATATTGTATCACTTTACAATGTAGATTCCCTCATTAGAAACTTGTTTCTCTTTTCAAGGATCTTTATACCTCACTTATGGGGGCTCTGAATAACAATCATTTGAATTATTTGAACATGAGTTCTGAATATTTGTCCTTAAAACTCAGAAACATTAACTTTCACATGAATAGAACACAGTAGGCATTTGGAATGATTTCAGAAGTACATTTTTTCATGAATTGTTAAAGTTGTGTTGTGTTTATGACAAGTGAGTTTTTCTAGTGCTTTTAAAATGAGTATACTTCTCGTGATTCTATTTTAGGAGAGGTGAGAGTCTTAAGTTTTTATAAAAATATATTCATTATTTTTATAATGATCACTGAACTTGATATCAGGTTCAGCTCCACTACTGACCTTGGCTAGATGATCTTGGGTGAGCCATTGATCTCCAGATACAGCTTTCTTTCTTTTCTTTTTTTTTTTAGATTTTATTCATTTATTTGAGAGAGAGCACAAGCAGAGGGAGAGGGAGAAGCAGGCTCCGCACTGAGCAGGGAGCCTGACGCAGGGCTCAATCCCAAGATCCCCGGATCATGACCTGAGCCAGGCATCCCCAGATACAGTTTTCTCTTCTGTCAAATGGAGTTAGCATCTTTCATTGTGGTTGTAATAATGATGAGAATGACATAACATGTGGAAATATCCAGCATAAAACCTAGCATAATGTAGATGTTCTATTATTCCTAGCTGAATCTGTCTCCAAAAATAATAGGGTAAAGTACATTTTAATTAAGCTAGTTTTATTTGGAAACCTTTAATAAGAATGATTGAACTATAATTACAGTGCAGGATTCCTGGTACACTTTAGAAAAATAAGAAAGTGGTAAGCCTTTGTTAGCTCCAAGGAGTTACGGCTAAGATCAGAAACTTAGGAATTTTCCACTGCGGTAATTAGCTAATTGTTTTGTTGTTGTTTTAATATATGAAGGTGTGATTGAAAGAAAGCTTTGCTAATTCTGACACTGCATTTTTGGGGTGGCTTGTCGCCATCCTGTCATTCGCTGTGTGACATAGCCCCCAAAGGCTTTTTTCTTTTTGTGTGTGGGGGGGCGGGAGTGATACAGCTTTAGATATAATTCACATACCGTATAATTCATCCATTTAAAGTGTCCAATTCAGTAGTTTTTAGCATAGTCACAAAGCTGTGCATCCATCATAACAATCAATTTTAGAACATTCTCATCGCCACAAAAAGAAACTCTACTCTCCTTGCCTCTCCCCATTTTTCTCCAGAACTCTAGGCAACCACTAATCTGTATTCTGTCTCTATAGATTTGCTTACTCTGAAGTGAAATCTTCAATATGCTCATGGCTTCTTTCATTTAACATAATGTTTTCAAGGCTTATCCATATTAGAGCATCTATCAGTACTTCATTTCTTTTTATTGTCTAATATCCCATTGTATGCGTATACCACATTTTTTTATCAGTTGATGGACATTTAGGTTGTTCCCACTTTCTGGCAGTTATGAATGATGCTAGGGTTGAACGTTTATATACAAATTTTTGTGTGGACGTAGTCTTTTCATTTCTCTTGGGTGTGTACCAAGGAGTGGAGTTGCTGGGTCATATAGTAACTCTATGTTTAACCTTTTGAGCAACTAACTAAATGTGGCTGCAGCATTTTACATTTGTACCAGCAGTATAGGAGGGTTCCAGTTTCTATACATCCTCCCTAACATTTGTTACTGTCTTTCGATTCTAGCCATCCTTATTGGTGTGAAATGAGATCTCATTTGTGGTTTTGATTTGCATTTCCCTGATGGCTAATGATGTTGAATATCTTTTCATGTGCTTATTGGCTGTTTGTATATCTTCTTTGAGGAAATGTCTAATCAGATCCTTTGTCTATTTTTTTAATTATTGGTCATTTTATCATTGAATTGTAAGAGTTCATTACATATTTCAGATATAAGTCCCTTAGCAGACATGTCCCTTATTTGTACAAATATGCCCAAAAGTTTTTATGCCTTCAGTACATGAATCTAATTATAGTAATCATCCTGACTGAGTACCTACCTCTGGGTCAAGCCCTGCAGTGGCCACCATATATGGATTATTTCCTTTGATCTTTATAATGACCAACAGTATAGATCCTATTATCTGCTGTTTACACATGCAAAAACTGAGGCCCAGAGAAGTTAAAGAACTAGCCTGGGGTAAGACAGTAGTTACTGCCTAAGGTGCAAGTCACACGTGAGCCTCAGTGTACCCCACTGGGACAAGAATTGACACAGGGCTGTCCATTCTCCTCTGCCGGAGCTCGGAGCCTCTTTGAGTTTCTGGCATATGCCTGTGTGCTCACTCTTGTTCATATTGTGCCTACTCTTGAAGAGTGAGCCTTGATCTCCCCTTTCTCTTAGTCCTTATGTCCTTAAACCACTCTGAATTCCTCATGTGCACTGCACCTGGTACTTTGTCTTCATTTTCTGGTTATTTATGTTTATAGCGTAGATAGACGAGGTAGAGAAACATCATTTATTGAGGGGTCTTAGTTTAGCTTTTAGGAAGAACCAGGTCAAATTGGAAAACTCTGGTGCTAGTTACAGAGGATTATTTTTGCCTTTGTGTAAGAAGAAATGTCTGACAGCTAAAGCTGTCCCTCAGTGGAATCAGCTGTCTAGTGGAGAACTTTCCAGAACAGTATGTATTCAAGCAGCAGTAGAGTTTCCTTCTCTCAGGATGTCATAAATGCATTTCCACATGGGGTGATGGGCTGGACTCTGAGGCCCCTTCCACGTTGGAGAAGAGCTTGTCTCCTGCCAGAGGTGATAATATAGCAGTCAAAAAACATGGCATTTCTTTTATGCTCTGGCTTTAGGTTTTTGTTTTTTTGTTTTTAAAGTCTAAATAAACATAGTGCCAAACTCTTAAAAATTAATAGGGTAAAAATGTCTTTAACCTTCAAAATTTAATCTCATTTGAATAATGTACTTCTTATTTCTCCGATTGACCTAAAACTGCAATTTCCATGCATGGAAATTGGTTAAGGGCATGGCTCTGAGATCAGCCAGATCTGTATTTGAGTCTCATTTCTGTGGCATTCTTGCTATGTGACCTTGGGCTAGTTACTTTACTTTTGTATGCCTCAGTTTCCTCATTTGGAAAATAGGGATAAGAGTGTATGCTTTGAGTGAGCAGCTGTTAATACTTGTCTGGCACATAGTAAGTGCTCATTAAATGCTTATTATTTGAGGGAGGGAGAATTAGAGATGTGGATGGTTGCTGTAGTAAAACTTAACCTCCTTTTTAAATTTTTCTCAGAGGAAACACAAAAATAGAAGAGGCTTGTGAAATGTATACCAGAGCTGCAAATATGTTCAAGATGGCTAAAAATTGGAGTGGTATGTATAAAGTTTTTGTTTGTTTGCTTTTCAGGCAAATAACTTTAAAATCATCTTGAAGGAAGAAATAACTGTCTGCATTTGCTCCTGTTGGCTGAGACAGGTGTGCATGCTGGAGTAACTGGTGTGGCCACTGTGGTCTGGGAGAAAAGAACCTTGATCTAAGTGAACAAAGCCTATTTTTCTTTACCTAAACATTGGATGAGAATTTCTTGCTGTGGGAACAGCTCTGTGATAGCTGATTGAGTTTCCATTGAGAAATGGAACACCCAGTGAGGGTGTTATTTCTATAAACCTCAACATTTTTATTGTCACTTACTAACACTTTCTATCCAGTGAAATTACACGTAACAAAATCAATTCCAAAATAGTGGAATTTTTTTACTGGTCTGAGAAAGGATGACTGTTTCTAACACTGATTTGAGAAACAAATTCATCCCCTACCATGTAAAAAGGGACTTGTTGTGTCTCTGTGATAGGGTCTTTCTGTCGTAAAAATAGAGACTGCCTTCAGCTGGAGCAGGGACTGAGTCTCTAGCCCTGGCTTGCACCTGCTGTGTGATCTAAAGTAGGGCCTTTGCCCTCTACAAATCATTTCCCCATCTGCTTTTTTCCCCCAGTTTTATTGAGATATAATGGACTATAACATTGTATAAGCTTAGGGTGTATGCTGTGTTGATTTACCCATTAAGGCTGAAACTTTAAAAGCATTTCTATGAAGAAATTGCTGTAGAAATACATGAATCTGAAAGTTCCTTTCTGACTAAAATTCATTTATAGGTTTAGTTTTAAGTTAAAAGGATGTGTTATGTTTTCAAAATGTACTTATACCTGAATTATAACATAATGAAAACAATAGAGGAGAAAAGACATTGTCTCAGCATTTTTTATCTTTTGTATTTTATAAAGGTATGGTCTAAGGATAGATTCGCGTGTACTAATGAGATTGGCCAATGCATGCATAACAGGAGCCAGTCTGTCGGAAGCACTTTACTTGGGAGGTCCAAGCTATTACTGTACTCTCCTTAGGCAGAGCCCATCAGAGCTGCCATTCAGTTAGCTGCTGTCACAGGTACCCATGTGCCTGCCTACTCCCCTGGTGGCAGGCTTGGCCCCTCCTCTGGGACTGCCAGCCCTATGAGTCACCAGTTTAAGGGGTAAAGCCTGGTGGGCAGGTGTTCTCCAGTCCCAGCTCCAGCTGGGGGCCACTTCCTCTCTGATTGCTCAGTGCCTGTGCCGCACTGATGGCTGAGTATTTTCAACACTGCCTGGGCACTCTTTTTGTCTGGCACAGAGCCAGAGTTGAGCCTGGGCAGGCTGGATCAGGAGTCTGTACTGCTTCTTTTCCCTTAGTGGAAGTCCAGAAGCCTGAGTAGGAATTGTGTGGTTACCTCTGGAAGAGGGGTCAGAATAAGGGATGATAGCCAAAGCTTTGTGGAATTGAATGCTTTATTTCTTAATACCAGCAGTGGGTTTTTTGGTGTCTGTCGTGATTTTCTGTACTTTTCTGAATGTTTTTGAAATGACTAAAAACATTTTTTTTAAGTACCAAAAATTCTTATAATATTCTTCATCATGTTTTTCCTAGTGGAGGGATCTCTTTCCCATCCATTCCTGTTAGTGCTGACTTCCCTATTCCAGACCTTACTGAGCTGTGTGACTCCACAGGCCTCGTGCTTCCCAGTCTGTGGTGGTTCTCTCTGAGCCAAGAACTTCAGGACAGTGGGTGGGCTCATCCTTGTCCAGGTTCCTCGTGCTGGCATTTAAGCCTCCCAGAACTGGGCCCATGGCACCTTCAGCCTTCACTTCCCCTGCCCACTGTGTTCATCCCTCCTGCAGGCAGCATGGACTTGTCACTGGCCTCTGTTCCCTGCCTTCTCTTACCTTCAAGCATTTGTTCCTTGTTCGTGTGACTCCTATGTTAGGGATTCCTTCCCTTATTCTTTTCTGCCACTCCAGAATCTGCAGTCCCTGATCAAAACCTTTTCTGAAAAAATTAAGTGCATAAAACTTTCACACTGTGCCTTGTTCCAACAGAAACCTGGACAGCACCCTGTAACCAAACCCATCCATCATCCCACAGGGAATGTGCAAGTTTTCACACTAAGTGGGAGATAAAGACATGTTAAACCTCATATGAAGTTCAGTCCGATTTTGTTATAACTTAAGAAACTTCGAGTTTTGAAATTGTGGGCCTTGATTTTCACTCTTTGAGATACTTACTATGTCCAAGAAGCTTCCATTAACGCTTTCTTCAACAATGACAGCCAAGTCCAATGGACACTGTGAGATAGAAAGATGAGTAAGTAAGTATTCTTGACCTCAGTGTTTTACCTTTCTTTAAACACTTGTGGCCTGAAGCCCTGGTCAGTGTTTAATATATGCTGGGGGACAGAGTTGAACGTGACTGGCTGTGGTACTAAATGGAGGCCTGTTGCCCAGGCGCCCCTTGGGAGGTTTCCTGGAGCTGAGAGACACTTTTGTCACCGTTGAACTTGGTTCTGGTTTCTTTACACATACCTGAAGTGCACTTGACCACATTTACATGTGCTTCTGACTGGAATGCTTCTTTTCAGTGACAAGGAACTTTTCTAGGTGTAGGTCCAGCACTTAGAGCACGGACCACCCTGGGGACACCTGCTCCTCTGTGATTAATTGTAGTGATTTGTCTTCTTCAGCTGCAGGAAATGCATTTTGTCAGGCAGCCAAGCTCCATATGCAGCTTCAGAGCAAGCATGATTCTGCCACCAGCTTTGTGGATGCTGGCAATGCTTACAAGAAGGCAGACCCTCAAGGTAAGATGTGCCTCCATCTCTGCGCAACTAGAACGGTAGGGTCGATGTCAGGGACCTTTCTCACAGGGTATGCCGCTGGACCTTGGAGTCCAGGTAAAAATAAATTTTTGCGCTTTGGGAAAATAGACATTTTAGTAATTTTAGGGATTTTTCTGTAATCATTTTGAGCTTTTATGAGGAGAAATTATGTTTAATTTGTCCTAGATGTTTAGTTGACAGCACTGTTTTCTTAAATGCCATTTAATTTTATGAATATATTATTACTCATTAAAGAAAAGGAATGGTCCCTCACTCCTAAATACCTGGTGCATTTTAAGATCCAGTTAATGGGAGATTATAATATCTGATAGTTAAAAACTTATTCACACAGTATTCATCTGACTTTTTAAAGAGTGTTTTTCAAAGTACTGGTTTTGAAGAAAGAATGAACTTGGGTATTTAAAGTGGCAAAATTTTGCAAATTTTTTATTTTTTAGTTAAGAGTATACATTTGGTGATTAAAAGTACTAACTTATTCCTCTAGCACACGCGCTGGAGGCTGTGGAGTCTCCCATTTTTCTCTTTTAGCAGTGTATTTTAACACAAAAATCCCAACTTTTATTATGAATATATATCATTGAGAATGAAAATGCTTCGAGGGCTTTTGTATAAAGATTGTCACACTCTATATCCGAACGTGAAAAACTAGACGCGGCCTAAATGAACAGCAAGGATAGAATGGTAAAATTACAGTGCATCAGTATTCTAGAATATGATGCAGGCATTAAAGTCCCTGGATTCAGAGCTTCTTCAATGACTGGTCATTGTCCACATGGTAACCAAAGAACCACATGAGAATTGAGATCTCAAATTTATAAAGAAATATGTGCACATAGAAATGCATCCAGAAAACACTGGAAGGAAAAGTGCATCAAAATACTAGCAGTGGGTTTGAGTGGCATTCTGGGTAGCTTATTTTTTTGTATTTTTAAAGGTGTAACAAACCACATTTCTTAATATAGCTTGGGAGAAAGTTGCTTTTAATTTTGTTAATCTGTGTACCTTTCTAATTCTTCAGTCAGGCCTTTTCTCTTTGCTACCTCCTTTAAAGCAAAAGCAATAAATTTGGAGCTGTTGCCCATATGTCAACATTATAAGGACCACCATTTTGTGACAGGAAATTTGTTGGTTCAGTGTTTCAGAAAATTAATAGAATTTATTAGCAGTATCACTTACTAGATTTTTTTTCTTCCTTTTGGCATATACTGGTACACCAAAAGTTAGCATCTTTTAACATTGTATGAAATGTTGACTTTGCTTAAGAGTTGTTTGAACAGGTATTTCAAAGTGCTTTTGATTTTGGCTGCATGAAGAATCAAATCTATTGAAATGATCTTCCTTATGAAGGACTGTCTTCCAGAATTCATATATATACATGATATCAGTGAAGAATGCATTTACATTTATGTTTTAGCAGCTAGAGCTGATCAGTGTCGATGACAGCCCTCATGGTTTGTCTGTTTTTTAATGCAGTCTTGGCCCTGGATGGGGTCTTCACTGTCAGGTTGAGAGTACTGAGCCAGTCCCACGCCAGCTCCAGTTCTCTAAATTGCACTACCCCTGCTGGGGACCAAGCATACTGAGGTGTCTGGCCTTGTGTGATTTCTGCTTGCTTTTTACTAACTTGGCTGCCCACCGTCCACCCCAAATGCAACCTCTTTAACGTTCTAGTAACAGCCAGGAAGATAGGCTCCCCGGAACCCTCTTTGACTGAATGGATTTTTCATTGTTTTTCTTAAATGCCTTCGCTTCAGAGGCTATCAACTGCTTAAATGCAGCCATCGACATTTACACAGACATGGTAAGACACTGCCTTGCTTGAGCGGCTGTGGGGTGGAATCCTGGAGATGGCTTACAGTTGTACTTTTGCTGTTGTTTTTTGTTTCCCAAAGGGATTGGCATTCAAAAAGGTAAAAGCAAAACGTGACTCTGTTTTTTTGTTTTTCCCCCCAGGGAAGGTTTACGATCGCAGCGAAGCACCACATCACCATTGCGGAGATCTATGAGACCGAACTGGTAGACATCGAGAAGGTAAGCCAGGGCACAGTTCCTCCACAAGCTGGGTACGAGGCAAGTAGATGACATGACTCGGGGAGCCCTCTCCCTTCCAGTAGAGTTGAGTGGTGCAGAGCCATTAAGATGGCTTCACGTGGAGGGTGGGGGGCTTGACAGGTTGAGGACTGGATGGGCCTCTCCTAGGGTGAGCACCTGGCACCTGAGAGCTAGGTGAAGTTTACCAGACCTGCCTGTTATCTCTGCTCTGGGTGATTCATGTCAGAATGACTTAGCAGAAGTCTTCCTCTTGGTCGCCGAGGCCTCTGTGGCCCCGTGAAGGGAGCTTCAGGACTGCAGGCACATGCACACCTTTATATTCAGGCCCTGACCTGGAGGAGGAAGAGAGCTGAATGCCAGCTTGGCCACACCTGTTTCATGCAGGTCTGGTTTTCTGAGCTGTGGTTTATAGAAGCAAAAGAAGAGAGGCAGGAGAAAATCCTCACTGAGCACCACTGTTTCCCAGGCTCTGTTCTTGCTGGCATGCTGTGAATTTAACTGCTTTCAGCTTTACAACACAGAGGCCCCTTTATGGGTGTGGAAGTTAGGGCTTGGAAGGACTGCACTGCGTGGGACCACTCAGGTTGGAACCAGCAGAGCTGAGGCAAAGCTGGCCCCAGTGCGGAGCTTCCTCCTGTTTCACACTGTCTTCTCAGTCAGGAGATTGCCGGCAGGGCTCAGGGCACCTTGGCAAGAGGAAGACATCTGTCCAACTCCGGAGGCTGCCTCAGCTCTGGAGACAGATGTTTGTGTAACACTGTCCCCGGTACCGTGGAAGACAGGAGGTGTGAGTGAGAAGGAGAAACGGTAGTGGAGGCCATTGGTTGTTCCTGCCAGGCTGATGAGCACCAGGCATGCTCTTAGGAGTATAGTTGTGTCCTATCTGAATGGTCAGAACACTCCCTGAGCCCACTTTGGCATCAGACAGGGGTCCCTCTTCCTCTCTTTTGTCTCATGCCTTCTTTCAGCCTCTGTCACAGGCGCCTAATGGTGCCTCCTCTTCTCCCCACCCTCTCGTGTGGGGCAGCCTGGGCTTGACTTCTTGTCTTCTCTCACTCCACATTGCTCCCTTGGTACTCTCTCTGCACTTAGCATCATGGCTTTACAGATCATCTGTATGCCAGTGGCTCGCAAGTCTATCTGCAGCCCACACCTCTCTCCACACCTCAGATTCCTCTACCCTCCTGTCTGCTGACCGTCACCTCCAACCCAGTGTGTCTGAGTCAGAATTCTGATACCCGCCATGATGTTCACTCCCAAACCACAAGAGTCCCTGCCTCCTCTCTTTCTCTACATCCAGCCTGTGGGCGATTTCTTTGGTGCTGTCCTCCATGCTCCCAGGTCTGGGCACCTCTCACTACCTTGTTGTCAGCTTTCCCTGGATCTCTGCAAGGAGCCTCCAAATTGGCCTCCCTGCTTCTATTCCTGCTGGAGTTCTGAGCCCTGGGCACAGGGTCCCCATCACTCCTTCCTTTTGGATTCACTCTCTTCTTTTCTGCTTCTGTGCATTTTCTTAAGGGAAAGGGGGCTTTATACTGAGAAATAGCATGCTGACCAAAATCCCAGGGGACCCTCAAGAGGGTAGGTGTAATATGTCAGCCAAGTTAGCAAGATGGATACTATTGCCAACATAAGAATTTCCTCCTGATACAAAATGATAAATGCGTGTGTATTACACTGGTTTTTGATACTGTCAGTGGTAGTGACCCCCACCCCCGTGTAACACAGCAGCCAGAGCAATCCTTGTCAAAAGTGGATCAGATTGTGTTTCTACTGCTGACAACCTGTGTTGCCTCCTCTTCACTCCGAGGAATAGCCAGAGCCTTGCAGTTGGTCTCCGAGGCCCCTCTGATTTGCCTCTTCAGCCCTGTGCCTCTCTGAACTCTCCTTTGGCACTTCCTCACCCTCCTGCCTCATGCTACCCCGTGCTGTGGCCACCATGACCTCCTTGCTGATCTTCACTCATGCTGGATGAGCTCCTGTATCGGGACTTCGCACTGCTGTTCGCCCTGTGGGGTTTTTCCACAGATGCCTGCATGGCTCACTGCCCCTTGTCCTTCAAATTTTTGCTCATTTGTTACCTTTTCCATGAGACTTACCGTGACCACCTAGTTAAAACTGGAACCCCAGCCTGTCACGAATACATGCCCAGACACCTCCCCCACCTCAGCTGTTCTTTTTTTGCAGCACACTCGTCACCTTACATCGTGTGCTACAAACACTTGCTCATCATCATCTTCCCCACACTGAAGTGGGTGCCCCGATCAGCACGGAGCTTTGCCTCTGGTTTGCTGGTGTATCCCTGGAGCCCAGAACTCTGGGTAGTAGCTTCTAAGAAATACGCAGACGACGCACCCATCTCTGCCATAGCAGCGTACTTACCAAAGCACGTAGAATCTTGGTTTGGGGAGGTATCTCTTACTGCTGAAGTTGGATTGGCATTGCTAACCTTTGCCCTCTGACTTCATGCTGACCACCACCTTGTGGCTATGCAGCACAAAATTCACTGACTTGTTACACAGAATTCATGATTTGGCCATTTTTGTCATAATAGGCCATGGTTTTCTACGGATACTTTGCTTGTGACTAAATCAGAGCCACTGAGTGCATTGTGTGTGCCCCTTCTCGTTGAAGAAGCTATCTGTAGACTCTGGAGAGGATGAGGAGACCCAAACCTGAACCCTTCTTTGCTCCCTGGTGCAGAGTTGATGATGGAACAGGAAGGAGATGGGTCTGGTGTGGCTGGGAGATTTATTTGGTCAGGGTGTCTTGGAGTGGCACAATATCTTTACTGAGGTTGAATCATCCTGGGGGGACGGCACTCATGCAGAGTGTCTTTCTAGCAGAGTTTGCGGCGTCAGCTCCTTGCCTGGCGTGGTCAGGAAAGCACTCTGAGGCAGAAGCCCACAGGACTGTGCTGCCATTGCTGCCAGGGCATGTTCTGGGGCAACCACTTCACACGTGGCTCTCCATAAATTCAGAGGGGGTAAAATGATCTATAGCATACTCTCGTTCTCCTTCTTCTAAAAAAAAGTATGGTTTGTCATGGCAGCTTCTGAAGCCCGTGAACTCATGGTTTTCCTGCCATTCTGTGAGTTGGCCAGCAGGTGGCATCTCCCTTCACTGATGTGATGTGCCCTTTTAAAAGCAATTTAAGAGTATTACTCAGCGCACACAGGGTTACCTTGTAGTGTTCCCTGATGTTTGGACTCCTGTGTTTACTATTTTTTTAAGATTTTATTTATTTATTTGACAGAGAGAGAGAGCAAGCAAGCATAAGCAGGGGAAACAGCAGGCAGAGGGAGAGGGAGAAGTAGGCTCCCCGCTGAGCAGAGAGCCCGAGATCATGACCCAAACCCAAGGCAGATGCTTAAGCGACTGAGCCACCCAGGTGCCCCAAGGACTTCTGTGTTTAGAAACATCATTGCCTTCGCTTTCCTAGTGGGACTCACCAGATGTAGTCCGTGGTACCTGAAGTTTAAGTTTGAAAAATCAGCTATATTATCAGTATATATATGTATCATTATATATATGATGTAAGGTACCTTACATTTCACTTACTACAAATGAATTTTTTTCCCTGTTAATACAAGCTGCTATAGGTTCTCTGATTCATTCATAGATTTTAGCTAGTGAACAAAGTGTGTGAAGTTTCAAAGACTGACATTATTTCTTTGATTTTATGAAATAAACCAATAATAAATGGGTCCTTTTTAAATGGGCTTTTATTTTTTTTTTTAAGATTTATTCACTTTAAAGAGAGTGTGCATGCGCACAGGAAGGGGGCAGGGCATAGGGAGAGGGACAGAATCTTTAAGCAGACTCCCCACTGGGCGTGGAGCCTGACTTGGGGCTCAGTCCTATCCCATGACTCATGAGATCATGACCTGAGCCAAAATCACGAGCCAGACGCTTAAACAGCTGAGCCACCCAGGCGCCCATAGGAACGCCTTTTAAATGACCCAGAGGGGGACGCCTGGGTGGCTCAGTCAGTTAAGCGGCTGCCTTCGGCCCAGGTCATGATCCCAGGGTCCTGGGATCGAGTCCCACATCGGGCTCCTTGCTCAGCAGGGAACCTGCTTCTCCCTCTCTCTCCCTCTGCTTGTGCTCTGTCAAATAAATAAAATCTTTAAAAAAAAAAAAAATGACCCAGAGGAACTGTGATCCATTTCTGTTTCAGCCCCTCGAGAACATGATTTACTACTGTTTGTTACCATGTAGGTGTGTCTGTGGCAAGTTCATGTTAGGTCCTATCTGGGGGTATATGTTCTAAAAGAATTGATCCCATCTGAACGCTGTTTAAGTTCACCTACGAAGTGGACTCTTCTTGAGACTTGGAAATTGCATTTGCTTTGAAACACTGATGAGGACTGCAGTCCTAGAGGGTCTTGTCTCTCATTTCAGGATTCATGTATTTTCCAGCATGGTGACATTTACCAGATTGCCCAGGAAGGAATATTATTGCAATTCCTTTGGTGGGCTACTTAAATAACAGGATAACAAGCTGGTTTTGTTTAAATAACAGGATAACAAGCTGCAGCACACACAACAAAAAACCAGATAATACCTACTTTTGATATTTATCATGATCTTTGAAATTGTAAGAAACAGATTTCTAATGTGGAAGGGTCTACTTGTGCCTGGTAAATTTCACTACATGTTAAAATTCTAAACAGGTATGAACATCCGAAGATGACCTGTGACAACCTCTTTTCTCCGAAACTTCTCTGTTAAGCCACTAGATAAGCTTTCCTTTCAACTATAGCCTCCGTCAAAACTTGAGACTATCATAAAATTTGATTATTGGTTTAATTAGCATTAAACCAACAGTTACAACATTTCGATGAATCAATATCATTATTAAGAACTAGGTTAAACCAAATTATCCACAGTTGTCCACATTTGGCCATTTATTTTTACCCCCAAAACCGCAGTTACATACAGTTCAACCCAACACTGTTCATTGAGTTCTGGTATTGTTGAGAACTAGCAAGATAAGTAGTGACACTCCCCACCCCACCCCCAGGAGGTTATGTAATCTGATACTCTTTATTGAAGATTTGGTCATCTTTCTCATACTTTACCCCATTTGTTACAATGGAAAAGAGTGCTAAATACTTGAGAGCATGGGGACAGTTCAAAAAATATTGGTCAGGAATTCACTGATATCATTAATTAGGAATTCACTGAAAAACTTCTTTTGTGGGCATTCCAGATTAAGATATTGGCAGTAGTTTAATAGGGGTCCATCATTTGAAATGCAGCTTGCCTTCATTCACTTAGCATCTATTTATTGAGCACCTACCATATGATAGACATTATGCTAGGCTCAGGAACATAATGTTGAGCAAAACTCTCATGAAACCTGTCCTCGCATTTTAGTGGGAGAATACATACATTGATCAGATTATCCCATAGGTGTGTGTATGTGACAGCTCTGACAAATGCTCCAAAGGAATCTATCCCAGATGTTTTCTGTATGTGTTTATGTATTCGTAAAAAGAGGTCCACAGTGTATCTGTTCTTTCATGGCTGTTTGTTAATTTAATATCTCATGAAGAAATTTCCATACTGATACTCTGTCATTATCTTTTTCTTTCTTTTTTTTTTTTTTTAAGGAGGCTCCACAGCCAGCGTGGAGCCCAACACGGGGCTTGAACTCACAACCCTGAGATCAAGACCTGAGCTGATATCAAGAGTTCGACCCTTAGGGCGCCTGGGTGGCTCAGTCGTTAAGCATCTGCCTTCGGCTCAGGTCATGATCTCAGGGTCCTGGGATTGAGCCCCACATCGGGCTCCCAGCTCAGCGGGAAGCCTGTTTCTCCCTCTCCCACTCCCCCTGTTTGTGTTCCCTCTCTCGCTGTGTCTCTCTCTGTCAAATAAATAAATAAATAAATAAATAAATAAATAAATAAATAAATAAATAAATAAGATCTTAAAAAAAAGTTGGACCCTTAACCGACTGAGCCACCCAGGTGCCCTGTCATCATTCTTAATCTTAGCATAGTAGTCTATTATATTTAACCACTTACCTTGTTTCCAGTTTTGCCCCTGTTATAAATAATACTCAGAAAATTTGTTTGGGGAACATATTAGTTAGGATAGGCTGATCAAAAAGACCCAAAACATAATTATTTAAACCTAGAAATGTCAGGGCTGGGTTCCTGGGATCGAGCCTCTCTGCTCACCGGGGAGCCTGCTTCTCCCTCTGCCTGCCCCTCTGTCTGCTGCTCTTCCTACTTGTGCTCTATCAAATAAATAAAATCTTAAAAAAAAAAATACACCCAGAAATGTCAGTTTTTCACACACTGTCAGTGGTGCTCTGCAGTACAGACTTGACTAATGTTGGTTGTGGCCCCTTCAGCCTGAGGCCTCAGAGGTAAACAAATTTTGTAAACCAAGTCATTGTTGGTCTTGGTCATTGCACTAGTACGTGCAGAAAGTGGGGGCTGAGGCTTTATGGCCAGGTCTGTCCGTTTCCAGTCAGCTCTCAGAAACCATAGCCAAAGCTTTAACATAGTTTCCTAGCCTGTTTTGTTTGTTGTTTTGTCTTTGTGCCTCTCTCTTAAGTCATTAGGTGGGACTTCCTTGAAGCTATGGGCTTAGTGGGAAGGGAGCACTTGTAGTCTGATGTTTGCATAATGCCAGCTTCCTCTTTATGACTTAACTGGGAAAACCCTGAAATTTAAGGCAGAGGTCTATAGACCCACCACCTGTTTATGTACACCCAGAAGTTAAGAATAGGTTTTACATTTTTTAATCACTGTTGGGGAAAAAAGCAGTTCATGACACATAAAAATTAAGTGAAGTTGAAATTTCATTGTCCATAAATAAAGTTTTTGGGACATAGACACGCTGTTTTTGTGGCACTGCCGGAGAGCTAAGTTGTTGCAACAGATCATACAGCTCACAAAGCCTAAAATATTTATAATCTGGGCTATTACAGAAAAGTTTGTCAGACCCCTAGTTTAAAATGTTGTACAGGCTTATGTTTTGCTGTTTGGGGTATAGAGGCCGTTGGCCTTTCCAGTCTTACAAGGCCCTATCACTGGACTTTGCCTATCCCTTTTATAATTGCCTACAAACAAGCTAGTTCTTTCCAGAGTTCTTCTCTCTTACAAAACTGCTGAAAACAGCATTACACACTATCATCTGTCTCTTTCCATAGAGCTTCTTCCCTTGGAGTTTCTGGCTCCCAGTAGGGATGTCTTCTGCCTTCTGAGTTGTCGTATGCTTGCTTTTACTATATCTTATGCCACAACGTGACAAAGGCTTCTAGCTTTCCAGCCTGCAACTTGTTTCCTCTCCACTTGACTGTTAATTCAGCACCACACATTTTAGAATGAAGGCAACACCCTTAGTCTAGATGACACTTAAGGTATTTTTTTTTTTTTTTAAAGATTTTATTTATTTGACAGAGAGAGATACAGCGAGAGAGGGAACACAAGCAGGGGGAGTGGGAGAGGGAGAAGCAGGCTTCCCGCGGAGCAGGGAGCCCGACGTGGGGCTCGATCCCAGGACCCTGGGACCATGACCCGAGCCGAAGGCAGGCACTTAACGACTGAGCCACCCAGGCGCCCCGACACTTAAGGTATTAATGAGAAAAGTCTGTGCTGCTCTAGCAAGCTATAGATCTAAAATGCAATAGGGCTTCATAAGCCTTTAAAATAACCATCCAGTGTAGCTGTTCTGGGTTTGGCAGCAGTACATGGTGGTTGAAGTACATTCTGCCCTTTGTAGTTATTTAGGAACTAGGCAGACAGTAGTTCTGCCATCCTCAGTTTGTGGCTTCCACTATCACTCCAGACTTGGTCATTGCCGTTCTAGCTCCTGGGAAGGGAAGAGGCCTGGAGAAAGACGCACAGTTAGATGGACCGGCCAAGCCTGGTAGAGGCCCACAGCATGCCTCTTTACATTCTATTGGAAACAACAGGTCACAGCTGCCTGGAATTGCACTGGGGGCTAGGGAAATGGTGTAGCTGGGCGTTTGCTTCGGGGGAAGGGAAGAAGAGATTTTGGTGGATGGTGAGTATTCTGCCACCAGGCTTCTGGATGTGCATGCTTTCTTGTCTTCCCCAAATAAAGGAGGCCAAGTTGTGAAAGGTGTGCTGTTGAAATAGGCTTATCTATAGGAATAATACCTATGCAAATGTAATTCTTAAATGTAGCTCTTCAGAGAAGTAGTTTGAATAAAATACATGTGTGTTTTTCAGGCTATTGCACATTATGAACAATCGGCTGATTATTACAAAGGGGAAGAATCCAACAGGCAAGTGCTGTTTTCCTTAATATAATTAAATGGGTTTTGTTATGTGCGATAAGAGACAAACCTTTACTGCACTCTGTGAGCATATCGGGCTGTACCAAATGAAGGTGTACTGGGATACCTTTTAATTTTTTTGTTGGATTGTTACTTGCTCTGCTCTGGTTCTCAATTTCAGTTCAGCTAACAAGTGCCTGCTGAAAGTGGCAGCATATGCCGCCCAGCTGGAGCAGTACCAGAAAGCCATCGAGATCTACGAGCAGGTAAGGCTGCTATGGTCTCACCAACTTCCGGCAGAAGTCACTGAATCTTGTTCTTTTTTAATTATACATTTTATTTAAGTTTGCTTTTAATTGAGATATAATTCACACATCATGTAATTCATCCTGGTAAAGAATACAAGTCAGTGGGTTTTAGTATATTCACAGAATTGTGTAACCATCACCAGCACCTAATTCCAAGGCATTTTCATTATCCACCACTGGGGAGACACCCCATTCTCCCCTCTTCCCAGTCTCTGGAAACCAGTATCTAGTTTCTGTCTCAATGGATTTGTTTATTCTAGGCCTTCTAGGATAAGTGGCCTTTTGTGACTGACTTCTTTCACGTACCATAGTTTTTTCAAAGTTCTTCTTTGTTTAACATGTAATGATACTTTCTTTTCATAGCTGAGTAATATTCCACAGTTTGTTTAGCTGTTTATCAGTGAATGTTTGTCATTTGAGTGTTCTTCACTTTTGAACTATTATGAATAATGCTGCTCTGAACACTTGTGTTCATGCTTTTGTGAGGGGAGGCTTGCTGTTGTCTTGGTTATATACCTAGGATTGGGATTGCTGGTTTATGTGGCAGGTCTTTTTTTAACTTTTTGAGGAACCGCCAGACTCTTCCACAGCACCTGCACCATTTTACATTCCCACCAGCGATATGCCAGGATTCCAGTTGTTCCACATCCTCAGCAGTACTTTCTGGGTTTTTTTGGTAATAGTTACCCTAATGAGTATGAAGTGATTCGTTGTGGTTTTGATTTCCATTACCCTCATGGTTGGTCATGTTGACCCTTTTCAATTGCTCGTTAGCCATTTTATATCTTCACTGGAGAAATGTTGGTTCGATTTCTTTGCCCATTTTTGAAGTGGGTTGTTTGCTTTTTAGTATTACATTTTAGGAATTCTTATTTCTTAAGAATTTAGAAATTCTTATTTTAGATATTCATATTTTATTTATATTTATATTTAAGACATTATCGGGTATGTGTTTTGCACATATTTTCTCCTATTCTGTGGGTTGCTTTTTTACTCTGTTGTTGATGTCCTTTGACATGTAGTTTTTAACTTGGATGAAATCCTAAGAGTTTTATAGTTAGAGCTCTTAGGTTTAGGTCTTTGATTCATTTTGAGTTAATTTTTGTATATAGTGTTAGGTAAGGACCCAACTTCATTCTTTTGCTTGTGGATATGCAGTTTTCCCAGCACTTTTTGTTGACTACACTGTCCTTCTGCCATTTAAATGGTCTGGGCCCCCTTATTGGAAATTATTTGACTGATACTCTGTTTGACCATCTATTCTGTCCCATTGGTCTTAACATGTCTGTCTGTATGCCAGTATCACATTGTTCTGATTATGTAGCTTTGTTTTGAAATCAGGAACTGTGAGTCCTCCAACTTTGATACTTTTTTTCCCTAAGATTGTTTGGCTGTTCTGGGACCCTGTCATCTCCATACGAATTTTAGGATCAGTTTGTCAGTCTGTGCTAAGAAGCCAGCTGGAATTTGATGGAGATTACATTGAATCTGTAGACCAATTTGGAAAGTATTGACATCTTAACATTGTTAAGTCTTCCAAACTATGAACCCAAGGTGCCTTTACATTTATTTGGATCTTCTCTAATTTTGTTCAATAATATCTTAAAGTTTTTAGTGTGTAAGCCTTGCACTTCTTTGGTTAAATATACTCCTAAGTATTTTATTCTTTTTGATGCTATTGTAAATGTAATTGTTTTCTCAGTTTCCTTTTTAGATTGTTAATTGCTAGTTTTATACACTGCAACCCTGCTGAACTAGTTTATTAGCTCTAATGGGTTTGGGGATTTTTTGTTTGTTTGATTTTTGTTTTTTTTTGATTCCTTGGGATTTTGTTTGTACAAAATCATGTAATCATGTCATCTGCAGATAGCTATACTTGGTCTCCAATTTGGATGACTTTTACTTCATTTTCTTGTTATTTGCCCTGACTAGACCTTCTAGAACAATGGTAAATAGAAGTAGCAAGAGCACACGTCCTTGTCTTTTTCCCATCTTAGACAGAAAGCTTTCAGTCTTTCATCATTAAATAGGATGTTAGCTGTGGGGTTTCTGTGGATATGCATTATCAGTTTGAGGAAGTACCCTTCTCTTCCTTTGTTGAGTGTTTTTATCCTCGAAGCATATTGGGTTTTGTCAAGTACTTTTTTCTGCATCTGTTGAGATGATCATATGGTTTTTGTTCTTTATTAATATGCTGTATTTCATTGATGGATTTTCATATTTAGAACCAACCTTACATTCCTGGGATAAATCCTTCTTGATTATTGCAAAGTTTGGAGATCTTCAAGAGTACCTTCAGGTTTGATCATTCTCTAGAAGCACTCACAGAATTCAGTGAAAGCTGTTATGCCACAGTTATGGTTTATTATACCAAAGGATACAGATTAAAATCAGCAAAAGGAAGAGGTGTGCTTAGGGCAGGGTCCAGGAGAGTTGCAAGTGTAGAACTTCTTTTGTCCTTCCCCTCAGTGGAGTTATACAGGTAGCACTTACTTCTCCCAATGATGATGTGTGATGAAAATATCCATGGAGTATTGCCAACAGGGGAAGAAGTTCACCTGTACTCGGTGTCTAGAATTTTTATTGTGGCTCAGTCACAGATTCTCCAGTCCCTCCATAGGTTGAGCTGAACCATGTTGTCAGAGACACCCCGGTAAACAAAAACACTCTTTCAAGCAGGCCGTTGCAAGCAAGGGCTTAGAGATGACCCCCCAGGAGCAACAGACAAAGGCAAGACCTCACTTAGGAGAAAATTAATCCTGTACTGTATAGTCATAATGTGTAATCCTTTTAGTGAGTTGTCACAGTTAGTTTGCTAGCATTTTGTGGAGGATTTTCAATCTGTTCATAAGGATATTGATCTTTAATTTTCTTGTGAGATCTTTGTCTGGTTTTGGTAGCAAGGTAATAGTAGCCTCATGGAAATGAGTTGGAAAGTATTCCCTTCTCTTTGGAAAAATTTGAATGATTGATGTTCGTTCTTTAAACATTTGGTAGAATTCAATGATTTTCTCTGTATCTCTGTTTTCAGTGTCATTGATTTCTAATATTATTTCATCCATTTTCTTTAGATTTATTTTACACTTCTTTTTTTAGGGAGTTGAGATAGGAACTGGTTTTTCTCTTTGTTGTGTATGCATGTTTAGTGCTATAAGTTCTCCTCTAAACACTGCTTTCACTATGTCTCACAATTCTGTTATATTGTTTTATTTATTTCATTGTATGTATTGATTTCTGTGGATTATTTAGATGTGTTTTGCTTAATCTCCAGGTGTTTGGAGATTTTCCTCTTTATCTTTCTGTTGTTGATTTCTGGTTTGATTCCATTGTGGCTGGAGAATTCACTCTGATTTCAACTCTTATAAATTTGTTGAAGTTGTTTTATGGCCCAGAATATGGTCTGACTTGGCATTTGTTCTGTGGGTCTGCTGTTGCTTGGTAACATGTTCTGTACTATTGATTAGATCTTCTTGGTTGATGGCATTGTTGAGTTCTGTATACTTGCTGATTTTCTATCTCTATCCATTGTTGAGAGTGGAGTGTTGGAGTATCTGACTGTGATTGTGGATTTGTCTCTCTTCTTTCATTACTATCAGTCTTTGCTTCACATATTTTGCAGCTCTGTTGTTTGCTGCAAACATGTTTAGTTTTGCCATGTCTTTTTGGTGGGTTGACACTTTTACCATTATATAATGTCCCCCTCTGTCCCTGGTAGTTTTCTTTGTTCTGAAGTCTACTTTATCTGATATTAATATAGCCTCGCCTGCTTCCTTTTGGTTAATATTTATGTGATATATCTTTTCCCATCCTTTTTCTTTGAACCTGCCTTTATCACTGTAATGGAAGTGAGTTTCTTATGGACAGCATATAGTTACATCATGCTTTTTAATCTATTCTCCCAATCTCTGTCTTTTAATTGGTATATTTAGACCATTCACATTTAATATAATTATTGATATATTAGGGCTTAAGTCTGCCATTTTATTTATTGTTTTCTATTTATGCTCTGTTTTTGGTTTTTTTTTTTTTTTTCTGCTTTCTTTTTCCTGCCTTATAGTGGGTTACTTGATTATCTGTAGTGTTTTCAAGTAAATGTCTTTGACTACCTGTTCTTAGTGGTTGCTCTAAGTGTAACATGTACATGATTTATCACAAGCTGATGATGTTATCATTTTATCATTTCCATTGAAATATAGAGGTCTTACTTTCTGTCCCTTTTTTCCTCCCCATTCAGTATAAATTAACTGTTTTGTCTTTGTATTTAAGAACCACCTCAGTCAATGATATAATTTTAATTTCAATCTTCCAACATATTAGAAAACTCAAGAGGAGAAGAAAAGCCCATTGTATTTACTCATATTTTACTTATTGTGTTCTTTCTTTCTTCTGATGTTTCAAGATTACTTCTTTCATTGTGTCCTTTGCATTTAGAGAACATCCTTTTGCCATTCTTTTAGGGTAGGTTTTACTGGTGACAAATTCTCTGGGTTCCTTCATCGGGGAATGTTTTGATTTCCCCTTCATTCCTGAAGCATGTTTTCCCAGGGCATATAGTTCTGGGTTGATAATTCTTTCCTTTTACCACTTGAAAAATGCGCCACTTAGGGCCTTCGTGGTTTCTGATGAGAAGTCCGCTTTCATTCAAGTTATTTTTCTCCTGTAGATAAGGTATTTTTTTTTTTCTGGCCACTTTTAAAGTTTTTTCCTTAGCTTCAGTTTTTCAGAAGTTTATGTGGCTTGGCTTGGGTGTTTTTGCTTTTATCCTGTTTGGGTTTCACTAAACTTCTTGAATCTGTAGGTTTATGTTTCTTGCCAAATTGAGGAAGTTTTCAGCCATTATTCCTTAAAGTACTTTTTCAGCCCTTCTCTCTGTCCTTCCCTCCCAGGACTTAGACAACCTAAGTGTTAGACCTTATTTTATAGTCCTATAGGTCCCTGATGCTCTGTTTTTTTTTTTTTCAGTCTGTTTTCTCCTCTCTTTTATTCAGACTGAGTAATTTCTAATGTTCCGTCATCAGTTCACTGATTCTTTCCTCTCCTGTCTATTCTGCTGTTGAACCCATCCACTTTTTGTGAAGTTATTGTGTTTTTCAGTTCTGAAATTTCCATTTGTTTCTTCTTTATATCTTAGGGTTTTTTTTTGCTGGAAAATTCTTTTTTCTTTGTTGATGCTTTCTGTTTTTTCTTTAGTTTTAAGCATTTTTGTAATTGCTTGTTGAAGCATTTTTTTGAGGGCTCCTTTAAAAATCTTTGTTGGATAATCTTAACATTTCTGTCACCTCAGAGCTATCATCTGTTGGTTGTTTTTCATTCAGCTTAAGATCTCCTTTCTTAGTGACAACTGGACTGGATCATATTTAAACCTTCTCTCAGGAGGGCTTGGGGGGCGCAGTCAGTTAAGCGTCCAACTCTTGGTTTTGGCTCAGGTCATGATCTTATGGTTGTGAAATCGAGTCCTGTGCCAGGCTCTGCGCTCAGCACGGAGTCTGCTTGAGATTCTCTCTCCCTCTCCTTCTGCCTGTCCTGCTCATGCTCTCTCTTTCCTTAAAATAAATAAATAAACCTCTTTCAGCTGGTTTCCTGTGACCCTACTCTGGCAGCAGAAGGGGCATGTGTTGCTTCACTGCTGGGCAGAGGTGGCCATTCCCGCCCTTTCTTGCCCTCCACCAACACCACATTGGGATTGTTCTCATTACTACTGCGTGGTGATAGAAGTCTTAATCCTCCACTAGGCCTCTTCTGAAACCACAACTGCTGGGAGATGAGGGATGATACCTCATTCCTGCTGGGTAGAGGAGAGACCCAGGCTCCCCACATGGTCTCCATTGCCTCACAGCAGGGATGGAGGAGGGTGGGCCATTACGAGCTGACAGGGATGAAGGCATGGCTCCCTTCTGGGCCTTTGTGAAGCCACCTTGGCAGGGATTTGGGGTTCCTCCACAATTGCATCTCAAAAGCATTGACATCTCAGTTCTATCTAGGGCCTTTACTGAAGTAAGTAGGGGTGGGGCCATAGTGTTCTGTGGTGTTTGGCTGGAGTAGAGCAGTAATTACCTAAACTTTTCTTTCTTGCTAGGCTGCCCTTTTCCAGGTCCTTCAGCTGGCTTTTTCTGTTCCAAGTTAGGGATATGTGAAAGAAAAAGAAAACCCAGAGAACTCCTGCTGTGTTTTCTGTGTGTCTCAAGGTCCCTAGCTGGTCTGCTGTCTTGTCTCCACTTTTCAGTCTCCTTGTGTTGGTTTTATATAAAATGACTGGGGCTTTCAGTTGCTCTTAGCAGGAGGGATAGAGAAAAATAATGTCTATTCCATCTTCCTGGAAGTAGAAGTAGAAGTTTTCTGGGGCATTTTTAACAGGTTAACACTTATATATTAAATATTGTTTCTTGTCTAGTGTGTGATACTGGGTTAAAAGAATATATTCATAGCTAAACTGATGTAAGATACACAAGTATTTTCTAAAGTGCAGATGAGGATCAGTTTGTCTACTACAAGAAGGCAAACCTTTGAAATCTAAATCTGCTTTCTGTGCCTAGGTTGGGGCAAACACCATGGATAATCCTTTGTTGAAGTACAGTGCAAAGGACTACTTCTTTAAAGCAGCCCTCTGTCACTTCATAGTAGATGAACTGAATGCCAAGGTAAGAGTCCCGCAGCGCCAATTTCTGCTGCACTTTACCATGAGAACAGGCCTCAGGCCCTCTGTCATTCATGATATGCTTTGTTGGGTGATATTGGTTATAGTAAGACCAAACTGCATGCATTAATAATAATAATAATAACAGTAATACTATGCTGTGCATCCCAGCTGTAATCTTGAAACCGCTGCTGAAGTGCTAGCTGCGTTCCCTTCGGTAGTTTTGCTTTAAAGAAATTAGGGGGCTGGGGCCCCTGGGTGGCACGGTTCGTTAAGCATCGGACTCTTAGTCTCAGCTCAGGTTGTGATCTCAGGGTCCTGTGTCAGGTTCCCTGCTCAGCGGGGGGTCTGCTGGAGATTCTCTGCCCCTCCTGCTCATGCTCTCTCTCTCAAATAAATAAATCTATCTTTAAAAAAAAAGAAAGAAATTAGGGGGCATAGGGAGGAGACAATAAAAGTGGAATAACATCCTTTGTTTCAAACTCCAACTTCTGGGAGAGCAGAAGTAAAACTGCTGAGAGGAAAGGTGTCTTTCCCTCCAGACTCAAGCAGAGGTCTGAATGGGATTTATGTGGAATCTGGACAGTGTTAAGGAAGAGCTTCTTTAGTAGTGGGTGGAAACAGACACCTGGTCTGTGAGTTTTTACAAATTAGATTTGGTCCATGTTGTCCTCTCTACAGCAACCTAACTCAGAAAAACTGGTTTAGAAATTATTCTTAACTGAAGTTGGCAATTCAAATTGAATAGGGTTTCCTGTGTTGATTTTGATGTTGAGTTTAACAGCATACTTCTTACACATTTAAATAGGCTGCAGATAAATCTTACTGAAGTAATAAGATGTTCAGATAGAAAGAGCTTTATTTCCTGATTCAGTGAGTTTGACATTAATGAGTGGCTTTTCTCTTTCAGCTTGCTCTTGAGAAATATGAGGAAATGTTTCCAGCATTTACTGATTCAAGGGAATGTAAGTTACTGAAAGTAAGTAACATCACAAATTTGAAGAAGAAAAAAAAGCCTTTGCTGTCAGGTGGGATCAAGTCTAAAGTGAAACTCTTAATTCTTTGAGGAGCACTGGTACCCTCCTGCTTTTGCAGAATAGGTTTCAGATGCCAGCAGAGTCAAGGACATAAGCATTGTGTTCTAAACCGAGCAACTCAGAAATGTTAGCACAAAAACTAGGTCCCTGATTTGGGATAATTCATGGCTTATATTTGAGTATTTTCTCTATTCTGTAAGATGTTTGGCAACGTCAATTGATGTGATACTAAGGCTATTTCTGTATTTAAAGTATCTATTCATAGGTGGAACTTTTTAGCCTACCAAACTAATTTTTCCATACTTACGCTACCAGAAACTTCTAGAAGCTCATGAAGAACAGAACAGTGAAGCTTACACTGAAGCAGTAAGTTATGCATTCGGGGTACAGTACATTCTTGGAAGCTTAAACTACAGAAACATCTTTTCATTGTATGAGTGCTGAACGTTTATTTGAACATTTTTCCAATATGCCTAAGTTGTATTTCCCAAAGGTCATGTTTTATATATCCCACAAATCTTTACAATTACTTAATTCTATTAGCCATGTTGAATTTAGCTGGGAGGCAAATTTAAGAGACTATCGCATACTGTTAAAATTTGCTGTTTGAATGTTTTCTTTTGAAAATAATCTGATCCATAAATAAGTATAAAGTAAAATCAGTTAAATACAGCTTAAAATATAAAAACAGTGAGAGTTTTGCTATATTCTTGGCATAAAAGAAATGGAAGACTTTTTTTTATACTCATTAGTTTTCTGTTTTCCCATATTTGCCATCTTATGTTTAGAATCAAGCAGATTTCTTGGTATCCTCCATTAATTTACTCATGGCTTTGAAGCAGTAGTGGAAAAGAATGTTTTCCCGTTTTACTTTGGCTACCAAACCATTTGCATCCTATTGAAATATCACTTTCTGGTAATGCATTGAAATGAGTTAAAGGGATTCCACTTTCACATATCCTGTCTCTGCAAGTATGTTGATTCATGTTCAGTGAATATTAGAACACTATGAATTTTCCATGTTCCTTTCTTACACGGGGTCTCGTTTCCTTTGTCACATTAAGTATGCTCTTCCAGTTACACAGGTGGTTAGGAGCTCAGCATGTTAGCACACAGAGCGGTTTAAAAAGCACAGGAACTTGTCACTAGCTCCATCCAGATAGTCACAGAACAAACAAACCATTTTAATGAAGAGAGTTATAAACTGGAATGAATGATTTAAACAAACCATTTTTCATGAATAAAGTTATAGACTAGAATGAATGATTTAAATGAAGGATTATCACTAGAAATGTTTAAACAGCTTGGGGTGTTGTTTTTTTGTGTTTTGGTTGTATTTCCATAGACTAATTCCTGTTCCTCTTTTTTTAAACTAGGTGAAGGAATTTGACTCAATATCTCGCTTAGATCAGTGGCTCACGACCATGTTGCTTCGTATCAAAAAGTCCATCCAAGGGGATGGAGAAGGAGACGGGGACCTGAAGTGAACATTTATGTCTTTGTGGCATGCAGCTGACTCCTCTTTAGTTTCATGTTAGGGCCACATGATCTTTATGGGATGCCCATTTAATGGCTTACTTCTGTTGCACATGAGCCAAACCATCTGTGTGTTTAAGCTCCCTGTGTTTGTGTCTTCGTGAAGCGGATGGCTTGGAAGCTCCTGTGCATATTGTGGGTGTGATGGGCTATTTCATGCTTGTCAGAGCCCCCAGAGTTTTCTGAGAACTACTTCAGAATCTTTTTCCTGTTATTTTGATATTTGCAGAGCCCGTGTTCAATTTTGTCATGTATTTTTATGTCATTTTCTTGGACTGGAGTACCCAGCCTAATCATTGTAATAGATGCTTTGCATATTTTCTGTAAATTCACACCTGGATGTATTCTCTAAGTGTACATGTTTAGTTCGGGATGGTTGTTAGGAATGAGCTTTATGACTTCACTCCCTAGAAATGGTTTTTGTTGTTGTCGTTGTGATTCTTTTGATGGTGCTAGTGACCCATTTGTTTGCTTTTTATATTGTTGTGTTTGCTAACATGCATGCGAAAATTCAGAACAGCCGGGGTCTGCCAGAATCACTTAGTTAACTTTGTGAGAAAAGGGAGCTTCCTGGCAGGGCTTGCTGATGTTTGTGGGCGAATGTCAGGGTGAGTCTGATGGATTCGTACTCCTTCACACACAAGAGATCTGTACAAAACAGTTTTTCCCTTTCCTGGAGATTGTTTCCACTTGTAGTTGAGGTGGAACCCTTTATATTCACATAAAAGTGATTTGACTGGCCTGTCCCTTTTGCTTACTTTCACATTCATACACTTACCCACGTTGAGACGGTGGCTGGTGTACCACCACCATGTGAATCCTCTTCAAAGGCCGCAGAGAGAACGGGTCATTAATTTTACCGTTTTATTGAACGTGATGGGTTAGGTGGGGTAAATACAGTACAGAGGTTTACTATGTGTCCAGTTGGGGAAAAAGGGCAACCAGCTTCTGGGGAGAATTGATTTTCCTCTCGGCTAATGGGATTGTTTTGGCTTGCATGTTTGAATTTAGTATGTCATTTTGGTTTACATAATATGTGCTTATTGATTTATGAACTTACATGCAGATACTGTGCTTTAGACATGGTCTTGTTTCCGGAATCTTCTCTATGTGTATTTTTATGCTTAACTGACTTAAGTTTGACATGTATTTTTTTGCCAGTCCTAGCTTGTGGCTCTTTCTAAATTATGCAGCTGTCATTAAAGGCAGATAATGAAATTTCCCATGTTAGGTCAGATGGAAACTGGCATTTGAAGGATGTTTTCATTTTTGGATGTCCCTCCACTGGGATTGGTAGGCTTTTGTTGGGCAGAAGTAGAGAGTGGGCCACGAAATGGGCTGAGTGTGGAGGAAGGCAAGGGGATGGTGCTCGGGTCGGGCTGAGATGAAGGAGAAAGTAGCAAGAAAGTAGCTGGAAAGGGCCAGCTGGGGCCTGGTAGTGGAGGCTGCCCCTCAGGTGGCTGCGGATTTCCTGGCTGCATGTAGGGCCACCTGTGCCGACACAGCCTGGTGGGGAGGAAGGTCAGAGATGTCACAGTGTGGGCTGAATGGACCAGAAGACGTGAACACTCTGGCCTTGCACCCTGGGATATGATGAATGTTCCTCCCTTCAAAGTTCTGGGATTCTTAGAAGAAAGCTGGCTACCACTTATGGTACAATTTGGAATGCAGCCCATTTGGTGGTACTTCACTTCCGGTCAGACTCTCTAACAAAGAAATGATTAGAGCAGAGAGTGGGTTCCTGTGCCTCATCTGTTCCACAACCAGCCAAATGCACTTTTGTGAAAGTGAGGCATGGGGGGTGCTTTTGTTGCCTGTGTCCTCAGGCTGTACGTCTGTCCCATCTGGAGAGCATTTAAATCCCAGCCTGCCAGCCTGCTTGTTTCATCACTAGTGTGCAAGGTTTGTTTTCACTTGTTAAAAGGACCGTCTGGTCTGACCACTGAAAGTAGGAACCAAATGATTTCTCTTAAGAGGATTCCTTTAGCTTTCATCGTGGTCCCCTGTCAGATGCCTGTCTGAGAAAGAGGTGGGGTTTGTAAAAACAGTACTGGTACCATTTTGTTATGTCAGTTGGAGAGTTGCTTGTTTGTCTTGAAATAAACACTGGGATCAGTGGCTGGGTTAAGAATTTGTTTTTAATGAAAAGAGTAAAAATAATTGTAATGGCTAGAACAGAACTGCCAGAAGATAAAAGGAAAATGAGAAGAAAAAGTCCCATTAACATTATCCGAACTTCCTTCTTTTGAAATGTCCCATTAACATAGGGTAGTACCATGACTCAGAGGCCCGAGTTAGGTTTTCAGGAGTTACAGAATGTTCTTTATGAATAAAATATAATGACTATTTATGTTCCGGTTCTTGTATTTTAGCAAATCTGGGGTTAGTTCATAGAGTCAGTTAAAATTTCTTACAGGAAAGCTTTGCTTTTTGTGGCAACATTTTTATAGCTTGTGTGAGTTCCTTTTTTATTTAATGATTTGAAAACCGTATTTTTGCACAGTTGTGACCGCGTGTGATGCCATTTATTGTTTTCTCTGATACTGTGCATTTAAAATGTCCAAATGCAAACCTCTGTGGCCTCCTTCGGGGGGCCCGGCAGCACAGCATGCCGCCTGCGACCCACCTGCCTGCAGCGGGAGCTGTGGCCCGGAACGGGCTCTCGCCTGCGAAGTGCGGTGTCGGGCACTGCGGGGTCTCCTCCCTCGTGTTCTCCGGTGGAGGATTATGTTGTGAAAACTAACCATGTGACGATCACTCTACCTTAGCAGAAAGAGTATGTTTTATGTCACCCTGTACAGAAAATAAAGTGGAAATTATGAGTAATATTTTGATGGGTCTTTCCTATGTAAATTTACACAAATCAAGAGTAGCTTCCTTTCTTTTAAGTTGTTCCCATTAAGGTTTAAGGCAATGGATATTAATATTCGCTAGGCTCTTTGAGTATCCATCCAAACATGAGTTTGGCTACCTCAAAACCTCCATCACTTGGAAATGCAGGGCATTGTAGCAGGTCTGCCAGCAGAGGGTTTATGAGGAAGCCTTGGTTCCAGCCTGTAGGTGCAATCCCTGGGTTGCACGGTGTCATCCCTTCTGGCCACCCCTGGCAAGGGACTCTTGCTGGCATCCCTTAGGCCCCAGTCACCTGCCAGGTGCAGGGAGGGAGGGTTTCTGGAAGACTGTTAGGTGGGGGGGGTGAGGAACCCTGAAGTCCCTCAAGTCTGTTCACAGTGCGGGTGTTCGTGTAACTCTGCAGGATGTCTGTATGGGGCGACATGCGCCCCTGGGGCAGGTCGAGCCACAGGCCTTTCGGGCCTCAAGTTCTGGGGAGGAGGAGGATGTGGTTGGGGGCAGGAGCTCTTACGGGCCGGCTCCTCCCCTCAGAGAACAGTGGTCAGGTCCATCAATATATTCACAACAACTTAAAGATAATTCAAAGGGGGCACCTGGGTGGCTCAGTTGGTTAAGCAACTGCCTTCGGCTCGGGTCATGATCCTGGAGTCCTGGGATCGAGTCCCGCATCGGGCTTCCTGCTCAGCGGGGAGTCTGCTTCTCCCTCTGATCCTCCCCCATCTCATGCTCTCTCTCTCTGTCTCATTCTCTCTCTCAAATAAATAAATAAAATCTTTAAAAAAAAAAAAAAGATAATTCAAAGCAAGTTTAAAAAATGAATGGTAGAACAGGCTGTTCAGTCTAGGCATTCTGAGAAGTTAATCATTCTCATTTAGTTCTCATTCAGATGTCTCTTCTCAGAATCTTTTCCTAATGGAAGCCACCATGGTGTTTTAAAAACCCTGGCTTTGCCAGCCGTGGTAAAGGGTCCCTGTACAGATTGGCAGAAGTGAGTGGATGATTTCTGGGGCTCAACTAGATGATATGCCAGATGGCCCTCTGAGCCACGTTTGTAGCCTGCCTGGTTATTTGCAGCAAGTGAACAAATGACCCTTTGCATGAGTGCCCCAGGCCCCATACTCCCCATTGAAACAATATTGTTACTTCAAGTAACATGAACACCATCAAGTTTAGTTAGAGACAAGCACACATTTGGTCTCAAAAAATGTCCCTGGTGTGGCAAGGTGTAAAACTGAACAGGTTAGAATTAAAACTTACACCCAAATTTGTTGGTTTGGATTATCACCTACAGCAAAACCACATTTCTATTAAAGTATAAAGGTCTTCCCTAGCCACCTCCACCACAACATGGCTTTCTTCTTCAAATTCTGTACAACAAATTTTGGTAAAATCCAAGGTGGCAGAATGCTTTGGACTTTGTGCTGAGAGCATTTCCCACAAAATGTTTGGAAGGCACTAAAATCACCCCGCAGTCACCTTTCATGATGCTCTGGGAGGAGCAGCACCTGCACCCTGGGCACTTTCTGATTACACTTTTGGGACCCACATACCCAGAGGCCAGTCTTGCTTTCTGTACGACACCCACAAATCCCTCTGTGCTGGGTCTTCTGCAGGGTTTTTGCATTTCTCCGCTCTCAGGCGCAGCCTTACCCTCCTGGGAAGGACAGAGAAATGGGTCTAGTTGGAGACATGCCCGTGACGGAGACTGCCACATCACTGAAGAGGCCTTTCGGCGGCCGCCCCAGCACCAAGTACACGGCATACTACCCCTGCAGGCAGAGGCCAGCATCCCTCACCACCAGGCTTTCACGTCTGTGGAGTCATTACGCAGTCCAGGCAGTTATGGAGACAATCCTAGGACTACAGATCCTGATTTTACATTTCATTACCCATGAAATGGAAAGAGAATTACACTTGTTCCAATTAAGAATCTTATTTCTAGGGGCGCCTGGGTGGCTCAGTCGGTAAGCGTCTGCCTTCGGCTCAGGTCATGATCCCAGAGTCCCGGGATCGAGACCCACATCGGGCTCCCTGCTCTGCTGGAAGCCTGCTTCTTGCTCTCCCACTCCCCCTGCTTGTGTTCCCTCTCTCGCTGTCTCTCTCTCTGTCAAATAAATAAAATCTAAAAAAAAAAAAGAATCTTATTTCTACAGAGCCTAGATTCTAACAGTGGAAATAAACCGTAGACCTATCAAACTTTTTAGAAAGCAAACATTTATTAACACATTAAACGATTTTTTGTAGAATTTCTAAAGAAAAATTCAAGACAAAAATTCTTCCAGTAGGTAACAAAATAATCTATTATTTAAATTCCTTCTCATTAAGATGACTTTATTCCATGAAACAGTACATCAGCTGGGCAGGCTCATTCTCTTACCAAAAGTAAAATGGTTGTGTGATAGTTTTGTTGTTGTTCTGTAAACACAACCAGGATATGCTGTCATCATTGAAAATTCAGTACTGCCATCTTCAAGAGCAAGTGTGAAACATGTTATCAGCACCTCTAAAACATCTTAGAGTGGCTTCCGTATTTACTTAACACGTTATAAGTTAGAACAAAATAAGCATTTCGGGAGAGTCTTCCCACATTACTTTCTGGCATAGTGCAACTGTGTCTTCATCCTGGAACTTAGGATAAAGTACCTCTCAGAAAGTGAACGTTTTCACAGCCAGTTTAATAAATTAAAACGTAAGA